CAGTACCGATAATTTTTTTTTTAACATTAATTGTCAAAAAGACAAAATTTTCAAGTTAATTCAAAGCAACTTGACTTGCACCTGTAGCCCAATATCACCATACCAACTTTGTTCCAAATCATCCTAGTCATTTGGACACATTTGAGTACCCGGTAAAAGAAATTTAATGTCAAAACTGTTGCTGATCAGCCATTTTTGTTTCAGCAATCATTTTTGTTTAAGTAACTTGATGTGCATATGTAACACATGATGTATTGTCATATTGTGTAAATTATACAATGTTAGATGGACAGACAGACAGACTAAAAATGGAGTACAAATTTTCAGAATTTAACTCAGCTTCAGCAAAAACTGAATTCATAGATATTTTGCACTGTGACAAGAAAGAAGCTTATACCATCAGAAAATGAAGACACCGTCTGCACTATTCATTTCCTTAAATCAGCAATAAAATGATCTAATCATCAAATAGTATACAGAAAACAGTGTCTAAGTAGGCTATAAATATTAAGTACTTATCAATGAATGATCGACTGCATGTAAACTGTTAAATAGTTTGTAACACAACATTAATAGACACAGACAAAATACAGGGATATAATATATGAAAAACGACCATTTTACAAAGTAGTAATACACTAACAGTTAACAAATGCCACAGGCATTTAATCTTCATGGTTAAGCATATTGTATCTTACGACAGCTGTGGGTATTTATAATACGTAAAGAATGCGACTTGCTAATAATGTGTTCAGTATGACTCGTAACATATATTGTGAGTGTAAACATCAATAGACACTCAAACTTGTAAAACATGTAATATGAAAGGTAATTGCAAATGAACAATTTAGAATGCAATACAAACAGAATCGTGTGACAGATGTGAGCGGCTGTATGCATTTGTATGGAGGTCGGTGTTCAGGGTGGCTGTGAATCCTACATCAACCTTGTTTATTACTCCAAGAATTAAAACTATATGCAATAATAACTGTTATGTTATTAAAATAAGCATGAGTATATATTCTGCATCATTTTCTATGTTCATGCATGGACACAATCCAATTTGTATGCAGCCTAGTGAATGGTATGACATGACATAGACAGTCCACACAAATAGGAAAAACATGGCAATGTACAATGATATGTTACTGCACATAACCACATAAATAAGCATGAAGTGTGAGTGTTCATGTGGGAATAAATAAGTAACCATAGTTTGAACAGTGGCTGATGCAAACCACAGTCAGTCCATTTTTAAAATATTATGCAGTGCATTACTTTTATCTCCTATATTAACACATGAACACATGGTGCTGCTGTACAATTCAGTTGTGATGTTTAATGTGAAATATAATTGCTGATATGGTATGACAGATGCATGTTTGAACAAGTATGCAAATTGTGACACGATACCAGTTTTATAACAGTGACATGATAATTTCAGATAGCAAATCATACAATGTATTTTCACTAACTAGATTAATAATATTGACTGTGGGTTTATTTATTTTTTCAGTCACAACTTTATTGATACACTTTGATACAATGTATAATTAGACTATATTAACCTTTGATTGGTAAGAATTAAAATTTCATTCTCTGTTTTTGACAATTGGAGTTGGTCATGTGATCCTGATTTGTCGATAAAATATGGTTAATGACATCACACGTATCAAACTGTGGTTCAAAATCCAAGGTGTAGAAGACAATTTTGGAATCACTATTCAAGAGCCATGTGGACAGGAAGCAGGAAAGAACATTTATTTTACTGTGTTTTTTTTCATATTTGGAATATGCAGATTAGTATTTGCACCCTCAACATATATAATCTGTAATTATTTAGTAAAAGGTTGGATTTCTGGCTCTAAATTTGCTACTAGTATTTCAAGAACACATTTCTCAAAAAATGTCTTGAACTAATTGAAATTGTAAAAGAAATAGCTGACTTTACAGTATTCATGCAAAAACCTCATATTTAAATATTTAAACCTTGAACTCCTACAGGAGAATACACTTCAATATGTAGTGACTGCATGGTTGGCAAGAACTATTTTGTTTGCAATCAAGGAGAAAATAAGGGCGTTGTTCACTAGTAGTGTAATTAATTTAATACATTATGTATGTGTTACGAAAAAAAACATGTATGGTAACATTGTCACAGTAGATCGTGAGCTAATGCAGATCTATACATATACTACACATACTAATTGACTAAAATCTAAATGAATTTTGTGACAGTGCACTAACATAAACTTACCATTCAGAGAATAGTCCATCAATTGCCATCCTTTCAGTAGGCCAATTACCACGAGGTACATTACAATATTTACAATTCTTGCCACCACAGAACATAGAACATTTCCAGGTTTCTGGAGTTATTTGTCGTAATCCATCCGATATTGCACTATATTTGGCAGTAGGTTTCTGGGTATAACCAGTAGTACTACCAGCTGATGCCGTCCATTTAATTTCACCTTTTGGTATGTTTGCCATGGCATGGTCTGCAAACAAAAGAAATATTTGAACGACTTAATATTCATTAAAATTGGTTTTGTAATAATTTGCATGAGACATGCAAGCTCATAGAGATACATACATCATTCCCAGAAGGTGAAAAAAATGTTATTATTGATATTTTGAGAAAATGTATTAATTGCAAAATGATTTGTTCTGGATGAAAATGTTGATATTCATATTTTAAACTAACAACATCATCAATATATCACACAGTACCCCGGTAAATATCATTTTTTTATAAGTAACAATAAATTTTGCTTCAATTCTTCATGTTGTCAGATTTTACTGTACTTATTAAACACAAAATTATAAGGGTGACAGAAAAGGTATGTAAGCTTTGTTATGATGGAAAGGAAAATATTTATCACTTTCTATTTCTTTACAAATCAACTAACAACTTGAGAAATAAATTGACCAACTATTGTAAAACTTTTCTCTGAAGGAATTACTAGTAATTTCAAATTTAATGTTCTGTTCAGCTATGCTTTTTAAGCAATAAATAAGGTTTTGGAAAATCAAAATAAACTAAAACTATTTCAACTACCTATGAAAATTCAGAAATGAGAAAATGAACCACTTTACAGTGTACATCACAAGTGCTTTTATAGTCATTCTGTTGTCTTGTATGTTTTCTCTAAGCCGTTTCAGAGGCTAATACAATATTATTATTATAAACTATCAAAACCTTTTAAAAATAGCTAAATTATTTATTGCTATTGATTTTTGGGCTATTTCATTATCTTCCCGATAGTTCATCATAAAGCTATTTACTGACATCTTAATTTAGCATGTGCTTATGAGTCATATGTAATTTGTCACTAGTTCACGTCAAGTACCGTAAAATCTGTATTAGAAGCTGCATCCCTAATAGAAGCCGCACCCATTCTTTTTGAACAATTGGGACCCAAAAATTCACCATTTCTCATATGTGTAGATGCTCTAATAGAAGCCGCATCCCCTCTGTTGCATTGTACCATTTTAATAGAAGCCGCGGCTTTTAATTAATACAGATTTTACAGTACCTATCAGATAGTATATAATGCACACAGAATTCACCACTCTACATTATCATGCAACAACTAAATCCATCCATAAAGAGGAAATAATGCTAAAATGCTTCGAAACTCAGAAAATTTACTCTTTACTGTTAAAAATATGCACACCTTGTATTCTATTATTAGTATACTTAGGAATATACCTCCTGTGTGTACACATGTACATACAAAAGACTAGCACTAGTGTTGCTAAAAATAATTGCATTAACATTACTGCAGTGTAAATATAGCATAGCATTATAGAATACAGAAAATTTCAAATACAAATACAATTATAGTGGATGAAACTTGGAATGTTAATTGTGTCAAACAGATGTCAGTATATTATTATTGAATGTCTAAAACAGCTGGTGATCTATTCTGTGGTTTTGATGCTTAAAGTACTACACAATAATAACACTTATATAATTTTTGCATAAATAGTTAAAGAGAATCAGAGTAATTTTAATTATTTTATTATATGTGAATTATATTATAAAATTAAATGAACAAACAATATTTTACTAGTATAAGTTTATGCCTTTGAGAAACAACATATATACATTGTATACTGAGGGAATTTGTTACTAAGTAGGTTTTATTTCATGCAAGAGATGTCAGGCCAAAAAGTATTGTGGTGATGTACAATTCTATTCAATACACAAGTTAGTTGACAGCTAGTTCAATGTCGATGTATATGAAACATGGACATTACATGTACATGAAAGGGTAATCTATCACACAAACCAACAGTTGTATTCTATTGGTATCCATACACATACTCATGTATATGAAGGGATAACAAGCCATGGAAATCTAGTATCCAACATATAAAGAAAGCAAGAAGAGCAACCTGACCAACCTGATTTGAATTTTAGCTGCAGGTATAACACTTATCACACAAGACATTTAAAGCTTAATAAAACAACTTCTAAGTAGTATAGACATTTGTACATGTAGCTTCAATAAGCAAAGTAGTAGAATAGTAGTGATCTCCCTGTCACTGTCTTCAAACACGAAAAAAGTACCATAAAACATTTAGTTTTATTCAATACAGAATTAATGTTATATTTACATTAGCATGTAAAATAATTTGACATTTGGTATCATGCGATGAAGTGATAAGTACAGAGCAATCAAGTGACCCCAATTACACTGTTAGTAGTGCAATGTTTCTATGACAACCAATGAATACAGCTCAACAGTTTGTTTATCTGAAAGCTTGCGAACATCAAAGACGAGATTATAACGATCCATTGAAGAGTTGAAATTGGGCTTGCAAATGTGATATTCATTTGGAAAAAACACATTCTATATGGACAAATGGCAGACTATAGCATTGTTTGTTGCCATGGCAATCACTTCTAGAGAGTCAAACAAATGATTTCTTAACATGATGTAACAAAATATTATTGCAATTAAAAACTTCAATAGCTGAGGCATGATATACCAGCTTATGCATTATATAAAATCACATCTGTTTTGGTTTTTTTAATTATACACCCACAACAGAGAGTATGTACATGTAACTATAGAAACACACCTTTCATGCTGTACCTAGAATCTGAGATATGAATCAATGTATATAATCCATCTCAAAATTAGAATAAAGAATTGTATAATTAGAAAAAGAACCTATTAGCTTGAAATTCAAGGCAACCATGGAAGAGATTACCTAGATGCCCCGTCATCTGAATGCTTGTATCATGTTCTTCTAATGTAACCAAATAATTTGTTTACAATTTTAATCAGTCCAAGACATTTCAGAAAAGTTGGCCTTGTAATTGAGTGCCCTTAGAATAATGATGTTCTAGAATTCAAATTACCAAGCAACTGTTGCAGTTACCAACCGTCTAATTGATCAAATACATCATTCTGATAGGGTAAAAACATGTTTTTAATGTTAGTGGTTAAATTGATGACATGCCATGGTTTTTTGTGTTTAGAAATACATGTGGGCTTAAAACATGAATAACACACAGTTAATTGGGTTGAATCCTGCTGTCAAATAACTGAAATTGACGGAAATATTATTTTGCGATACGCACATAGTTGAGTAAAAAGTACTGTGACCCTCAGATTTTTGGCTTTGAAAGAGATCTATGAGGAAATTAATTTTTCAGAATTATGGTAACAAAATTATTGCCGTCTGCTTTCTTTTTTTTAAAAACTATGTCGATTAAGACGATTTTACATATCAGCATTTCTGCTATAAAGAAAATACATTTACAGTTTTACAACTACCAAACTGAAGACATTTTAAATGAGCTTAGCTACAGCTAGGTAGCATTTAGGACTATATAATATTAAAATTAGAACACTACACAAACATTTTAACTATTTTTACAAGGTTGATAAAAATGAATTAAAAATATGGAGAAACTAACTAACTAAATCAATAAAATACAGTAAAAATAGCATGTTTTGTCCATTTTAGGGCATTTAATGTTTCTATGGCAACAATATATATATTCTCACTGACATATGATGAAAAAAAAGACATATAGTGCCCTACATGGTAGATTTAATGTCTGGAAGTATTACAAATTTACAATATTTTTATTAGGTTTATAACAAGAAAACATGTTTCATTGTAGTCTATGGAAACCGCTGCTGAAATGACATTTCAAATTAATATTTTACCATTTTTCTCAACAACAAAAATTGACAGTGAATTTAAAATGTTCACATACTGTTGACTAATAGTAAAACAATTTAATTATAGATAGATTTCAACACGAAATATTGTCAATGCTATATTGTATATGTACTGTATTTATATGCGTAAATGTCTAAAAACCTCCACTCTACCTTTATTAAGAAAATGATAAAAAAATCTAGTAAACATATAAGTATGTAGTGCAAATTACAGAACAATAAAAACGCTTGATACATGACACAAATACAGGAAAAAAAGTACCTTCCATGTATATGTCTGGATGCACTAATCAGAGATTGTGCTAGCATTTTCACCTCATTATGGGTATTGTAATGTTCTTCTAAATAATGCAATTCCAGACATGATTCTCCCGATTTAAAGATGCAAGCAGCCTGTCGGCTGAGATAGCTTCGCTGTTAGCAATGCACATTGCAGTTAAGAACTGAAGATATCAAAGCAATCGAACTTGTGGTTTTTAACAAGAAGTAGAAAATATAACTTTTTACAACAAATGACAAAAATCATCATCAAAATTAGAGAATTAAAGATATCATCATGAAATGAACAAATCTGAGGGAAGTTGACGATGACGAACAATCAGTAATATAAACAGCTCCACTGTCACAAATAGCACTTATTTTGATCACAAAAGTAACTTTCAACAGTACTGCAATTTTAGTGCAATATTTTGAAAATTGTTATTTATTTTGCAATAATTTCTTGGTTAATTTTGAGCCAAATAGACATAATGTCCCATTGGCTACAGCTTTTTTTGAAAATTAAAAAAAAAAAAAAAAAAAAACAATTCTCCAGGTTTATAGTGCAAAAGATGACACAAATTGGCTTAATTGCTATTCTTTGGTTTAATTTTATGGTTTAATGTTGCACACTGAAAATGCAGTTCAGTAATGTTCAATGACAGACGTATATACACACATACATGTATTTGTCAGCGCACAATAAGATAACATACTTCAAATGCTACTAGAAAATAAATCTAATATTACATAAAAGGTAATATAAATAGCTCAATCCATTATAACTTTATGATGAATGGGACTAAAGATATATTTCAGAGATTATTGTACATATAAATGCCCCTTTTTATAACTGAGTTTTGTACTCCTTGCAGTATGTATATAGTGTCCAATGAAAATTTCAAAAACCTTAATATCTTTATTGAACTGCTCAAAACAAATGTTAATAAGATGATTAAGTTTGAATGACATCTGCATCTGCCAACAGATTTCAAATTGCTAAAGATCTTTGTGTCATAATCAGACCTATTTTG